ATGACATTATTTCTCTCAAATTTAATCATTTGAAAGGAATAAAACACATAACAAAGTTTCCGAACATGATGGCAATTTTTCGGATTTAAGCTCATAGCGATGATCGGTGCTGTGATTACTCCAATCAGTTTATTACATTGAATGATTGACGCGAATATTGCCCGAACTCTAGGAGCATGCACACAGTTAGTCTGATCAGGTTCAATCCTTCTATAAGCGCATGCAGGAAAATCCACTTTGAATATACAAAAGGCGGTATGATTTGGAAAAGAACATACGATACAGGCGATTTGCAAAGTTTCATTTGCAAAAAGAACATAAGATACAAGCGAACATTGAATGCTCTCAAAGTCCGGTGAATATTGCTAGTTTCAAAAAGAAGTATTCTGTTAGGAGTGCTTACAATTAGAGTAACGTCAAAGTCAGCGAGAATAAATTTCAATTTTATTAAAAATCAGTATGACAACACAATGAGAACGCACATATGCCCATACTTAACGGTTGGATTATCATGTTAATGAATATAATTATGGAGGCAAAATTCAATAAATCAAATATAATTATAATTGAAGATTTGTTCAGCAGAAATTCGAGAAGAACGCTATTTACAATTAAAGATGACTGATGATGCATAAATATTAATGATGAATCGTCAGGTGAAGTTAATTTCAAAAGCTGTTATCATAAGTTAATTCGAATCAAGTGATATGAAATAATAAGGAAGAGGATCAGTCAGAAAGAGGTATTAAATGACACAGAAATATGAAGTGGTTAGCAATCAATGTTGTAGAACGTAGATCTTCGCTTTGCTTGAGTACATTCACGATATGCATCCTGCAGAAAATAATGATGGTACTATAAAATTGTTTTCGTCTGACAAGACTGTGTNGCAGTTTTGACTGAATTGCTGATACTTTTTCGATCATTATCATTCGTATAGGTATTCATTTTGTTGGCGTCCCTCTTATCGATATCGCACGATGATAAACGTTGCAATGTGCACAATATTTCTGATAAGTGTTCATTTTTGAGTGCAAGTTTTGAATAACGTTCTTCGACATCTTTTTCGATCGCTTTTATCTGCATGAGCAAATAAATTTTAGTTTACGCTCAGTCATAGTATAAGGTGGGTTAATAAAATCGTCGTTTCATAACATTCATTCGTGCGTGAGCTCTCTCACTCGTTTCTTTCCAATCCTTAATAGTCGTTAGTCTATGCGATAGATGGTTTTGGAACTTTGAGGCATTTTCCTAATTCTCGAATTCAATCATTTGATTATTTGAGTTCAAGACCCGACTGCAATGTACTTATTCTATGAATGGTCTCAAATCTCAGCCAAGGACAAAAGCAAATTTATGTGTCAGCGCAACCTTTAGCTATAAATCTGGGATTAAGCGCAACTATGTTATGTCTTCAATCAGATAATTGAAAAGTGAACTAATCCAATGTCCTGTCGTGCTTCACTTAAATGATCTACTAAAAGGATCAACCGTAGTGTATCGATAATTAAAATGTACAACTTACTTCTTCGAGTTCAACTTCATTACGATCAATCCAATTTTTTAATTCATTAACGATTCTTCTTCTATAATATTTCATTTCAAAATCCTACAAATATTCCTCACTGTATGCAAATATCACATGATTCATATCCCAAGTTCAGAATAGATTCTTACCGACGAAGGCGAATCATAGGAATTTGAGGAAACTCGATCGACAGCGTAACGAATTCCATTTAGAATTGTTGTTTCGTGCTTAAAACGAGCGTTCGATAGTGAGTCGTCTAGTATCTTAAACGATGTGAACATCATATACTCGTGAGCCATCAGCTTCAAAGTACTCTTGAAAGAATAATATTTGAAATTGAAGTTTGCGATCGTCTGCGTATGAGGTGAATTCAGAAACGTGTAAATAATCATTTTGTGTTCTTGTATATTTATAGGATAATGTGAAATGCAAACTGAAATAACCACTGAATGAATACCATAGTTTCATTAGTTGGTGGATGTGGACATGTCGAAAGTTGACGTGATCGTTTGCTGATAAGACCTTAACTTGATCATATCCGATTTCGTACGAAAATATTTCGTTTTATATCGCTAATNACTGAGAGGATAACATTTACGTTGATGAATACCTAACATTCAACAGCGTAAGATCGCCGCATTTCTAAACCAGACCAGAAGTCTGGAAGATATGGACAAAGATCAATGCGTTTAGTTCTTAGCTCAAGAACGAAAAAGTTTTCATTGTAAGTGCGATCAGGACTGTCTTTAGGACAAATACTAATGAATAGAGGCGTGATCAGATGCATTTCAGCGTCGTGTGTGCCATTCAAAGTCAGCTTTAAGATTACGCTTGAGATTTGTTTGTTTGTAAAGATGATCAAGTAGGAATTGATACCGATTAATCGTTTCAGAAGATCGTCTCGTGCGGGACTTTTTGAAGATCTGAATGTAACGGACGATGACTGAATGCTGGGTGGCATGTTGAAACGAACGCGCATGTGTCTCCTTCCCAACGGTATCGGTCTTCCGCGAGGGTTTTGCATTCTGTCGCTAATATCAGCAATGTTTAATACTATACTGATTCTGGGCTGTATTGTTTCATGTTTATGTAATTGGTACTCTTTATATCTAGCTAATTTGTTACTTTATTTAAAGATCGAACACATTCTTCTTTCAAATCCTATCAATGCTATTGTTGAGTTTTTTATGATGATCAGATGAATATTCTTCAAATACAATTTTTTGATGATCATTTTGGTGATCAGATGAAATCAGTTGAAATATTTCAGATTGTGATCTTACGATCTTAGATCTTGTTAATATTAAATAGCCCGAAACATCGAAAAACTAACAAGTTGTCGAACGAACCCCCCGATACAATGTCGTATAAATACAATATTTAAAAGGAAGATATTCATCAAATACGGAAACTATTCTAATTTGAATTCGTTTCCAACCATTACTATTCAAAATACTCGTTTAGAATCCAATAAATTTCTGCATTATTTTTTGCATAGAAAGCTTGATTATGTTGTTGAAATTTGCATATTTCTTTATGAAATCTGCATGAGTGTGTTATTCGCGAGTATTGTGAAAGCCGAGTTCATTCCATTCCACAAATCCGACAAGTCACAATATTAATCTACTCAACCGCTTACTGAAATCAGCAATTTTCAGTTCATCACCGCTGCAAGCATCTGACTCCGTGTTATCGCCGAATACTGGCTGCTGTTATCTTTCCTTCAGCACTTCTCAAATTGAGAAACATTCCGCCTTCTTGCATTGTAAATTCATCGATATTAGGCGTGATCGACACAATAAGTGAGCGATTTTATACACGCCTCATTGTTGGATGCTGAATGTAAATTCACGAGAGTTAGCACGTGAATGCAAATAAGTAAATACTGCAATGAATGTGTACAATTTTCGAATGATGTTTAATGTTGTAAGCGGATATGTATTGATCGGTGAAGCTTGCTTCTCACCATCCAACTACGAATAGCAGTATTATGTTATTACTTTGAAGTGCGTAAATATCTGTTCAGTGCTTTTACTGCTGTGAACGAATGCTTTTGCAATGCTTTTAGTTTATATTGTGCGAACGAATAAATGAATGCTGCTTATGATATCGTTCGTTATTGTATTGCACACCGTTAACATTCCAATGCTTTAGCACAGTGATTACAATTGGTGACGTATGTGGATATTTTCAAGTGACTGTGAGCATTTTAGTGATTCATTTGAAATATCGAGTGATAATATGATAATACGAATAATAATATGAATAGTCGAATGATAATACGAATAATATAATATTGATAACACTGAAAAGTTTTCAATGAAATGATTACATATCCTACTCAAGCGATAGACGATTAGAATAGTGTATGAGGGGTTGAAAGTGCTTAATCATTTCATAATATGTTGAAATTTTTTAACTGAAAGGATGTGAATGTTCAGGGTGAATTTTTTGGCAATTAGTAATTTTTGAAGAAATCTATTGCTGAATAATTTTGTCTTAAGTAAAATAATCAAAATTCGTTTGTAACTAATTTAATTTTTCGATTAACTCCCCAAAATGACTTCTGCTCAATCACTGACTATTAACAATAATAATAACAAAAAGACTAGAAAGGTTACATCGCTATCTGTTCATCTTTCCATAATGATTCATAAATAAATTCTGTTTTTAGGTTATCTTATTGAATCTTCTTTGATTTTTTCGTTTTGAATATTATTAATCGAAATAAAGATATTGTTCATATGGAAAGACACTTCACTGTTGTTTCCAAATCCAGCATTCTTTCATAATTCTTTCATATTATCGCCTCAGTTTCATTTGAATGATTGTACCAAAAAAGTTTATCACAACATCATCATAAATGCTCACCACCAACACCCTCTGATAAGCTTGGCCCAGCCTACAATTCAGACGTATATCAGCAACATATGATCACACTTTATCATTAATATTTATCATCTGTTATTACATTCCTTCCTGCTCTTCGCCTATTTCTCTCTCTCTCTCGTCCCCGAACAATATCTTATCAAATGTTTGAATACGAATTTTTGATAAGATCCTCTATCATATGATCATATCTTTGCCGGAAAAACTTCTAGACATTCTAACAGTATTTTCATGCGTTCAATTTCTCGTGAATAAGTTGCATCGCTAAACGAGCTCAAGCAAATACGCGAGTGAATCCACTTTCTGAAACCCACAAACGATCATTGATAAATGTTTTGCGTTTATTTCTATTCAGAGTGATCGCTCGCGAAATTGCATAACCTCTTCAGTGCAAACTTATCGCTGAAATATTAAATAGTTTACAGAATAAATTCGAAACTCTTCTGTTTGATTGTTCGCCGATTAAGAGCGATTCATCCTGTCAAACAACAGCGGCATTAACAATGGCGTATCAAGAGGTTCTTCGTTCGTATCGTATCTCCTTACAGTTCCATATTCCATATCCGAAATCCAGTAGTGTCACAAAATGATCAATGATCAAATTTGATCAAATTTGATTAAAAATTTGATCAAATACACTTGACATGATCATAAATCTCTTCATTCGAAACTTTAGAAAATCTTTCTGATATTCATTCCAACTAAATAAATAAATGACTCGTGCCACTTGAATTTGAGATTTTTCGTTCAAAATTTTCGATTTTCAACGGAATCATTCCGAAAGTAATCTGATTGAATATTTGCCGTCATATTGTTACAACGGTGTTCTTTAATTTCAACTTTACAGATTGTTTCCAAGCAACGTGAGTATTTTATGAGTGGTGAAACGATGAAAGTGGAATATCGCAAAAAACAGCTGAAATTTTTGAAACTGATGATCGAACATGAAATGGAGGTGTTCGAGCAGGCGATTTTTGAGGATTTGAGAAGGGTGATTTGTTTTTTGCCTTCCTTCATCATTGTATCCCAATAAAAATTTATGCCATGACAAAAATACCAGCACCTGACCTTACTTCATCGAAATCTTCTGAACTTGAATGAATCAATTAAGCTGACCGCTGATATAACTTATCAAACACACCTCTCTCTATAGAGTGTGAATATCCCGGCCAAAATTGTTGTCAGTATGCGAAGAATAATCCGAGTCTTTCTTACTGGGATTAAAATTGAGTACACGTTGAACACTAATGGGTTAATTTCGAGTTATTTTGATCAGCGTTCATATCAACATAATGATCATGAATTCAATTGGTATTCATGCTTTCATCTGAACGTTTGATGTCATCAAATGAATGTTTAATTTTGCAACCAAATCATTCAGGCTCCAAAGTTATCCTATAATCTAGAATTGAGCACTGCACTCGCTGAAATATCCTATATGCTCGACAATTTGGATGAATGGTGCCGTCCGCAGAAGGTAAAATGGATTTAAGAAATAATACTGAAATTTGCAACGTTATCATACATAGAGTCAGACCCCGATCGAAGCAATTTCAGTGAATTGATGGATGAGAACGGTCTTTTAAACTGACCACTGAAAATGTTTTCTGAATGAAAGAAAATAAAAATGGAACGCTCCCTCAAACTCTTCCAATTCATTGCGGGCACAGAAAAAAGTCGACGAAGAGGAGAATCGGGAACGAAATTTTTCAGCCGGGGCCCTCGGAAATGCGGTCTGCTCAAAAAAATGTCGGGGACGGGGATTTGAGGACGTGGTCCCAGATTTCTGCAACACATTATTCCATGTATATATTTTAAGCTTGTTCAATCAGTTGGTTGAATCAGAAAAAAAGTTTTTAGACTGAAAAAACGTTCGTCACAATGCTGGACACTCCAATGATCGTTAAGGAACCATTGGGTGTGGTACTTATCATTTCGCCATGGAACTATCCAGTACTTCTCATTTTACATCCACTCATTGCTGCAATTGCTGCTGGTTTGTTGGATATTCGCATTCAGAAGCCGCTTCTTTTCATCTGTCTGTCCTACTTGAGTTTTAACCATAGAGATTCATTCAATCGAGTCTTGTCATCAGGAAGATTTTCAAAGAGTTGATAAATTGCAGGGAATACAGTGGTGATTAAACCCTCTGAAATATCGGCTCATACGTCGAAAGCAGTCGCCGATCTCATCTCAAACTACTTCGATCCGGTTCGTTTGCCTCATTACTCAAGATAAAACAAATTCAGTTATCACTTACTTATGTATATTAAATGATCCTGGTTTACTTCTTCAACTTCGTTGTATTTTCAGCAATATATTACAGTCGTCGAAGGGGGTATCGATGAAACGAGCGAGCTGTTGAAAGAACAGTTTGATTATATTTTCTATACGGGTTGTACGTCAGTGGGAAAAGTGATAATGTCAGCAGCATCGCAACATCTTACACCAGTCACACTTGAACTCGGTGGAAAAAGGTACTGCGTTCCACACTTCATTCATTTTCTGTAGAAATTCTCATTGAAGAAATAACAGCTTTGAAAAATAATATATCCCATTTTTGAACCATTTGTGAGAAGAAAGTAATCGAGTTGGATTAAAATTCTGTTGCTAGCAGGAGTTTGGTTCAGATTAAATGGTTCGTCAGGAAAAATCAGCTACAGCGAATGAGTTAGTAGTAGTTGAATGACTACACATGGATCAAGTATGGCTATTTGGCATATGGCTGCTTGGATGACATTGAAACCCATTCAGAAATAAGTTGTTGAATTCATTGATTCAATTGATAATTTACAGTCCAGTGGTGGTCGACGATAATGTGGACTTAGAGGTGTGCGCTAGACGGATCTCGTGGGGGAAGTGGATGAATTGCGGTCAAACTTGTATCGCACCCGATTACATTCTCACAACAGACGCAATGAAAATGCCGTTATTGAAAGCTTTCGAAAAAGTATTGGGCGAATTTTATGGCTCGAAGATACAACAAAATAGCGATTACAGTCGTATCATTAATGAACGTCATTTCGAGTAATTATTCAATATATTGTTTGGTCCCTTCGAAAACATCGTTTAAATATAGTCGAGGGACAAAAAACAAAATTTAATAACCAATAGAATTTCATATCTACACTCAGTGCCCGTTGCAAATATTTTCAATGAATAACATAATCGGGTACCCAGTCATGGTTCGAGTAGTGCTAGTTTTAGCTCTTGATACTGTTGAAAATTGTATCGGTTTCTCTCATCAACTTAGAGCACAGTTAAAAAATTGATCGTAAAGTAGATAGATATTAGTATTATCATTAACAGTTCAATTGATCAACAATATAGCAATTGTTTTCGAACATACATTTCAGTTTCATTACACTAAAACCAGCTGTATGAGAATGATTCAGTGTTTATGTTCATAATTTCAAATCATCTCCTCTCAATATGAGTGAGTATTATCCAACCTTAAGCGTATTTCTGTTTGCGAAACAACTGAAAGTAACAACTTCCGTTACGTATCATAGTTTTCACCATGGCTATATATCAATTTGAAAGTAATGAGTCATCGAAGCTATCGTACAGTATGAAATATTTTATGGTACATTATTCATCAAAAAGTTATGTAATGCATTTAGCGGTATTTCAGTCGTTTGAAGAAACTCTTGGATGAATCAAAATCGATAGTTTTGCATAAGAATGGAGAATTGGATCGTAACGATTTATTCATACCGCCGATTATATTAGACTCGAATGGGGATGATATTATAATGCAAGATGAGGTAGAGTTATTTCGTTATTCTACAATTATAGGCGGGGAATCAGCATTGCTTCCCGAATGAAGCATCTCACCACTTTGAGATCGCTTCTCCGGATTTCAGACGACATAATTCCTAGTCATTCATCGACATTTTCCAGCAAAAGTTTTAATGGATAGAACTGACTTTCTGGCAAAAAATCGTTCACCGAAGAGAATTAATTGATTGTTGAGTGGCTTGTGCCTATAAAATAATGATTTGCCGTATAAAAATTTGGTTTCAAATTCATCTAAATCAAATGAACAACCGAGTTTTCAACGGAACATCCAGATTTTCGGTCCAATCCTTCCAATAGTGACAGTGGATGATTTTGATGGTGCGATTAAATTCATTCGATCACATCCAAAACCGTTGGCGGCGTATTTCTTCTCAAAGGCTAAACGCAATATTGATCGATTCATCAACGAAGTCTCGTGTGGTGGTATTACTATTAATGATGTCTTCATGCACATCACGGGTATTTCTTATTCAGATTTGAAAACCATTGCTCTCGTTTTGAAATGAATGCGATGAACCATACATCCTTCCAAAAAATTATATCGCGATCACGATAGTGCTGAGAAATAAATTTTTCGAAAGAATTACACGAAAATGTCACAGATAACAAGTTCAAGATCAAAAGAAATTGGATAAGTACTAAAGAATGAATGAATACCCTTTGAAAGAAATCTTATTGAATCTCAAATACCAAAAATGAAATGAAATCAAGATCTCGAAAATTTAATGGTTCCAATATCGTCTTTTCCCGTTTCTTTCCAGCTTTTTGCGTCAAAGATCGGCACAGTAGATTAAATTCTTCCAACAAGGACGATCTGTCGCATCTTTGCTCATTATCACAGTCTTCTTCATAATTATATTCACAGTACATCAATTAATAATAAAATTCATTCTATCATGATATATTAACAGTTGATACGTTACCATTTGGCGGCGTTGGACCGAGTGGTATGGGTCGATATCACGGAAAATTTGGATTCGATAGTTTTACGCACGAGAAAGCTGTTCTTAAGAAGAGTTTCTTCGGTGAATCACTCCTAGCGTAAGCACTATTCAAAATATTGGAACTGATCAAAAATTGATAGTTTGTCTATCAACTATTGCACATTCAGCATATAACCGTTATTCCAGATATGACCATATTTATTAATCCGTATTAGTAACCATAATAAAAATATAACCATATTTATAAATCCACTTTTGTTGAACGTATATCTCTTTAAAATCAGTCAAAATTCCATATGAACAAATCATATTAATCAAGTAATGCTCCCTTCAAATACCTACATAAATAGTTGTCATACTTTGTTTCATCTGACTAATAGTAGCAATAAATTTTACGTTTGAACGTAACGGTATGTTTTTTTTACAATATCCAGTGATGCTCATTTGCAGTAGCAGATATCCGCCGTATACAGATGAGAAGTTTGCTCTGATGACTTCATTAACGAAGCAGAGAAGATCTATTCCGAAATTCATTCGACGATACGTTCCGATGCTGTCGTACGTTGCGCTTGGTTTTTTGATTGGTTTTGTTGTTGAGGTTCGTACTTATTTGCATTCTTCAATAATAATTTTCATCGAACTATTCTTTCATCGCTGAATCGAAATTACTTCCACTAAATTCACAAAAATATGCAAGTTTTCAGTTGTCGCATGACTCATATCATCATTACTAAATTCTGTACTTAAGCATAACATGAAAAATCAACAAACGAGTAAGTATCAAAATGTTGTGGAGTTTCATTCTAATAAATTAATTTTGATGATAGTTTACCCATCTCCGATCTTTGTTACAAGTTGCTTAATAACCAAATGAGCATATTAAGATTTCATATGCTTCCAATTTCACTCATAAATGATTAATGAAGACCTTTGACTGACTGACCAACTTTCATTTTCAGCGTTACGCAATAGAATAACATTGATATGACACTCGATGCAGTCGTGTGGATATGCTCTGGTGCATATTAATTAATGATAAATACTCTAGCTTTTGCCTTTGTACAGATATACTTTAGGATATTGTGGTGCAGGGATTGAGGAGTTTCGGGGATCTCGTCTCCGCACCATACCACTTTAGAATGTTCATTGTTAGCCTTCAGTATGTTTACATTTGTTGTTCCCATCAGCACTGTTCATTGAAAATTAATGTGTTGTGGCTGTAAAAATACTATGTTAACAGGATAACATGATCAGTGATGTTGTAATGTTTCATTTTAATGGGTGCGTTAGCAACTTATTTAAATATTATTCTCTTAATGAATCCATATTCATCAAAAAAATTCTTCATCAAATGAGTCTATCGTCATGATAGATTATGCAGCAATTATCAGCAGTGCAACACATGTCAGCGTATTTGTTCATCGTCTCGAGTAATAATTATGCTATTCTCCCCACAACGGTTATTCAACGAGCCTTATGCAGCCAGCAGTCCATTCGTAACCGATCAAAGAACAACGAAATCAAGAAATCGCATAAAGCATAACTGAGACATTCATCTGCCCATCGGTCCATCGTTGACCTCTTGCGTTTACCTCTTATACGGAGACACTCATTTCCCTCAATATTCTCCGTTATTTCATATACAAACAAATGAGTAATGCGCACTAACGCTGCCTCATCACGTTTTTTGGCTTGTTACAAGTGATCTACTTACGTTGCTTGTGATCTAATTAAAGTGATTCGTTTTCATTTGGAAGGAATCTGAATGAAAAGAAGTGATTATGTATCGCCGTCAACTTTAGATTGAGATGGATTGATAATTTTTGTGAATTTCTTTGGAGTCATTGAAATATTGAAGTTAATGTTGTAACGGTTTATTTGTTTGTTATATGTCACGTTGACAATGCTGATTTTTTGTTCGATTATGCTGTACCATATCGCTTCAGTTCAACAAAACGAATAAAAATTAAAGCACTTCGCTTGTTTGGATTGATGGAATTGCAGAAAAAATCTGAGCTGAGCGGGAAAGAGATTGCAGAGAATCATTCGGTTCGATGGAAGGAAGGGTACAGAAACAGAATGATAACTTCAAAATTCTAGTTTCCGCCCGAATTTTTTACCAGTTAATAGTTGTTCAGGTTCTCTGCTGATAAGGAATTCGATGCGAAAAAATTTTGTATGATTTTGTAATCGATTTTACTAATTGTAGGTGTTTCATGCACTGCACTATCAATCCTATGTGTCTTCTCGTCGAGCTTTAACTGCGACCGGTATGCTTCTTTTGCGACTCGATTTTCCACGTTCTCATCGCTCGCTGCACAAATACAGTATAAACCATAAATGGCGCACTCAAAACAGTTTGAATCGAATAAATTTTGTAAAAACTGAGCTTAATTGAGTTTACGAGTGCGGCAAAAAGAGATTTTATGTTTTGTGGTCATGTAAGTGATAAGCAGCAATTATGAATGCAGGTGCTTGCAGCACAGGTGTGACGACGTGACCAGTGCAGCTGATTGCCAATTGTAAATGTGTGTATTTGAAAAGTTCAAATTTAAAATATTTATTTGAAATTATCCACGCTATGGCGCCATTGTTACACTCCTACAAATGAAGCAATTAAATCGTGGTGCAACAACTATCTCCCTTCAATGCACAGTCCGAAACAATACGTGCTGTTTGCAGCACTTTGTTTGCTTTATGTTTTCATGATCATTATCATTACTATTATCTTAAGTATCATTATCACTATAAAACTATTGTTGCCATTACTATAACTAGTTCATTGAACAGCATTACTACGGCGTTACTCTTAAGGTTATGTTGTTAAATATGATATGATATGTTGTTAAATTACGATATCTCATAGTATCAAGCATATTGAAATCATAAGTAAATCGACTAGTTTATTCGTAACCGAATCGAAATTTTATACAATTATTTTCCATTATTATTTATAGGTTATTCGTAAGCTTTTTGAATTAAAATTCATGAAAGTGTATTGTAAATTTAAAATTCACTGACCACGATCAAATACAGTTGCTCTTAATGCCGCTGCTTTTCATCTCGATGTATATACAAGCGTGTCCATACGTTTGCTTATACATTCTTCATCATATACAACTATTTATTCATCAGTAATTTTTCATTAAATATTCATGTAAAAATGAGGATTCAACTGCGCTATAGATGTGTTTATTCATCGATGAAATTAGTAATCTTCTCATGAACGTCAACAGGAACAAACTAGTCATTCCATTTGATAGAATATTTTATTATCATTTCATTTAGGAAGATTGTGGAATTTCAATTCCCTGGAAATGTTCTGGAATAGAATCTGAATGAAATTATTTTTTCAATTCAATTTGAGGTTATCGAATTGGCGGCAATTCATTCGGCGTCGTTAGTATTTGTATGTGGGTTGTATTATAAATCGATGAGAGAGCTATCGATTTTGTTCAATGATGGCATGAGTATTCGTCAAATATCCTTGGATTTTGGGAATTTTACATGAAACCGCTCTGAAATTTCCAATACGTCATTTTGGGACAATTAAGTGATCGAAAATTTGGTTGAAAAACGATCAAATTTGCCCAAAATGAAGTGTTTCGATCAGTAGTTCCTCTCATATGATAGTTTCGCACATGTCACAATAATTTCATCAATTCATGATCATGTAATCTCCAGATCTCACATCACCTTGACAATATTCTTATAGAATTTCGAAATATACTGTTCAGTTTATTCCTTAACTCTGAAAACATCTCGAGTCACTAACGATATCATTTAATTTGTCCCTTGACACCGTCCCTTCAACATCACTACCAACAATGTGGTGCAGCACTAAGGTTCAAAACATATCGGTCGTTTTGAATTCCATTCAGACTAGATACTTATTTCTTCAATTATTAACTTATGCTGCCTATCTGTTTCTATTATATCTGCAAATATCACAGTTAATTCAAATGAAATGTGACAATTGAGGGATTTCTGATGAACTTAAACCAACTTGAATAAGGTATTATGAGTTTAGAGATAAGATGATTATCAATGATCGTGCATATATTCGATGACCTCTCATAAATGACTGACGATGTTGAGACAGACCTTCATCTTTTGCTAATGTTCCCCGCTGTGAACCAACTCAGCTCAGTTCTACAATGCTCCACAAATAAATATCAACACGTACTCGAAACACCTTCGAAGATTCTGTAATATAATCGAATGCATTCTTTCGATTATATACATACACACATGTAATTGTCATCTAAACGTTTTCATTATTTATTGATTTATGTCTACGCCTATTTTTAATATTTGATCATGATCTAAGAACAGTTAAAAGCGAGTATGCATGCCTCGTCTCGCTGTTAAGAAAAACCACCAGTTCCTTTTCAAATGCGTCATCCATCCTTTTAGAATAGCCGAAGACACTGCATACGAATCATTCGTTTTCATGAATTTTGGCTCGATCCATCCTTCGTCTAGTAATTTCAGAACACGGAACCGAAACACCTTCAAAAATTCTGTAAACTTATTCACGAATGCATTCTTTCGATTGTACATGTTCTATTAATTTCCAGTTATCAATGCAATTCTATTGGTGTCCATATATTGCATTTTTATCAAATCTGCACACAAAATTGATCAGTGCTAAATCTTTTGAATAACCGTTAGTTTTGATGTGATAGCTGTACGAATATTTTCAAATAAACTGCAAAGAACCCGAGAATTTTCATCACGGTATTTATTTCAGTTTGACCAATCACTGACTATTGAATATCATCATCATCTTCTCCAAATGAATAATGAGATGTTGTCTCTCATCGGCAATTAATCCTCAAAATAAGTTTGTTGATACGTATGCAAATTTTATGATTGGTGATTTGCATATTTTTGAATGGAATCGAAAATAAGGACGGTTTATTGAATGGTTATGATGAATACCTGGTTACAAGGTATGGATATGATGATATCGTTAAGATAAACGCATTAGATGTGCACATGTCCTTGATATACACATCGGTGTGACGACTGTTTTATGTATCATCCATCCGAATGCATGTACCTTTGTGTTGCATATCGCACCGTCTTTTATCGGATTCAAGCAAGTCACAGTTATTTCAAACGAATAACAATTGTTTTAACAGTCGGCAATTGCATCTTTCTGCTATCATCACAAATCGTTTTCTTGTCTCTTGCTTTCTGCACGATTGACGGTGTTCCTTAATTTGGAATCTCGTCAGACTTAATGAATTCACGATGGACCACTTCATTGGTTGGTGATATCGTAGTTGTGTTGGATAGTGTAAATTCAGCCAAAAATAAATTTCCGAGTATATTCTGATAAGATAAGTGATTATTTCGCTGAGACATTCGTTTAGTTGAGTTAGAATTTCATTCTGTTCATTATGACAAAACTTCATTCTTTACCTGTTTAACAACTCATCTCACACACTTCATATAAGTCTTCGATTGAGCTGGAAAAGGATTATTCGTACTTAATTTTTAAATTTCATGGATTCATTCTCTTTAAATTATTACAAGTTGATCTGTACAGACCGCAGTACTTTAGGCGTGTGATGGCGGTTTTCACAATGTGATAGTAGTTAGAAGTGCTTATGAAAATGTCAGCGTTAAAATAAAAAGTTGACGTTCTGATGCGTGCACATTTCATATCGGTCTATTGAAATTCTTCAAACACTCATTCCCATCACACCAGTTTCAGCGGGAATTATTTTTTCACTTTTACAAAATTCAGCGGGAAAAATTCGGAATTTCTTTTCACATAAAAATTTTTCATTTTCAAGCAACGTATGGAAATTGTATTGTAATATACTGCGTATTGAATGTTCGTACATTGCGTCAAAATTTATTTCTGAATAATCTCAACAAATGATTCTTTTGTATTAACAAATTTCAATGA